GAAAGAGAGAGAGAGGGGGGGGGGGGGGGGGGGGGGGGGGGGGGGGGGGGTATCAGTGAATGTCCAGGGGGCCTCAAGATGATTTAAAATGATTTAAATTTTAATTAAGTTATTTATAAAAGTTATTTCTAGAGCTGAAAAGGTAATTTAAACTAATAAATTCTCAAAACATCAGGGTATTTTTATGATGATATGCGTACATTTTCTTCTGGTTATGCAAGTTCTAAAATATTTGAGAAATTGTAAACAAAGCATTTATTTCAAATCCTTTAAAGAGTTTAACATCCCAGGGACCACGTGATGACGTAAAAGAATCACTAAATCGTTTTTGATCCGGTTCTTTGAATGATTTGTTCGAAAGAACCGATTCGAACGTCTCGTCATTAGCGCACTGAATCACCGCTCAGACTCGCAGGCAGAGATTTTGAGCGGTCATGTGGTCATTTAATCCCATCACAAAAGAGCCCAAGCTGATGAAAGTGAGTGACTACAGGGTAAAACAAGGATTCAGTCTCAATAACAATACATCGCTCTCATGTTAAAACAAGACTAATATTAATACCTTTTGGAAACTCGTGTTCTGTGTAACTAAAATAAACAATTAAATGGTCCAAAGATCGCGCGCACTGCAGCACCAGTGCTGTCACCATGACAACATTAATACTCTCACAGTCAGATGTGCGCGAGAGAGAAGAGTGAGGCAAACACAAGGAGACTGACTGAGACAGCGATGAACCCAGGTAGACATTTGATTTGTGTTAAGGCTAGTAGGCAGCCTGTTTAATGTTTGATAGAAAGGTTTTTAAAAATGTCAGAAAAGCTTTATTCAAACACCACTATTGCAACATAGTTTTAATAATGCAGTCTTCATATGCCTACCATATAACTGTTAGAGTTGCTTTATTCCGCGTTTATTTATGATTAGCATGGTAATACAGTAAGCAAAAACCTTTTTTTATATTTCGGCCACTCTTTAGTTTGAGGACCAATTCTGACTAATAACTAAAACTACGACTTTGCCTCAAACTTCTAATTTGCTGCATATTAATAGTAAGGTAGTTGTTAAGTTTTGGTATGGGGCAGAATTAAGGGATCAAAAATATGTTCATGCAGAATAAGACATTAATATGTGCTTTATAAGTACTAATAAACAAGACAATATGCTAGTAACGTTAGTAATGCTAATATGCAAGTAGTATGCTATTATATATATACAGTATATAATATTTTATAACCTTATAAAGAGCTGCATTTTATTAATTATTTAACAAATCAATGTATTTATTTTTTTGATAATTATGTTATGTGCCCAGACCTGTTTAGGAGAAACGAAAAAAGGCTAAAGTTTTCTCCAGCAACAGTGATTAAAAAGTAATGGGTAATCTTTTAATTTAATCACTAATCCAGGAGCAATCTTTTGTGGTTAGTTATTCTCGGTGTATTGTTATGTGATATTCGTGACCTTTATTAAGATGAAACCAATAGGCTACAGTTTACCCATAAGTCACACCTGAATAGCAAGATCATACCATGGATGCTGCTGTATCAGATAACTGCATATTAACCATAGATTGGTTTAGGTTTCAGCCATTGTCAAAACACGCATACAAAAAGTAGTATGACTGTGTTAGATATTACTGCAAGGCTAAATATATCTAAAAATTCACATTAATCCTACAACTTTATAAACGATATACATGATATTAAGAGAATCTGCCATATATTTTCTCAATTTCTCCAGCAAAATATCCAGAGCTTACTCTTGTGATTGGGAAGGTCACTCACCACAGTATTGAGCTGAGCTGGATGAATGAAGAGAATAAACCTCGAAATGGCCCTCCTGAACGCTGGACCCGCTTCTCTGTGGAGCAGATGGACCCCAAAACACACACATACAGCACCGTATACATGTCAGTTTTCTCTGTTTGATGGTGAAGATCATTTCTTTGAATATTAAAGTTATTACAACATGTTCAAAACCGGCTTTTTAGCAACAGTCCATGTAATAACAATTTTTTGGTGTTTTATCACAGAGGGTACAGCACTCATCATCTTGTAGAGGGCTTGGAGTCCAGCACCTCCTATAATTTTAGGCTGAGGGTCACCAGAGCCTCAGGGGAGTGCAGCCTCAGCCCCGTGGTATCTGTCTTCACCACCCGTGAGATATTTTACTGTACCTCCAGTCAAAGCTTTGGTCTTTTATTTTCTTATTTTAAATCTAGTAAATCTCATGATCCTCTCTGCTGTTATTAGTAGAAACACAAACATTTAGGAATTCATTCGCACAAAATGTACAATACTTCAGAAGTTTGTTTAGCATAGATGCATTTAATTGATCAAGAGTGACAGTAAAGACATTTATAATGTTACAAAAGATTTGTAGTTCTAATAAATTGTGTACTTTGAAATTTATATTCATCAAAGAATCCTAAAAAATTATCACAGTTTGCAGAAAAATATTAAGCAGCACAACTGTTAAAACATCGATAAAAATAAGAAATGTTTCTTGAGCAAATCAGCAAATTAAAAGGATTTCTGAAGGATCATGTGACACTGAAGACTGAAGTAATAGCTTCTTTGCCATCACAGGAATAAATTATATTTTAAAATAAAAAATATTTATTTTAAATTGTTATAATATTTCACAATTTTTACTGTATTTTTGATCAATTAAATACAGCCTCGCTAAGTGAGACTTCTTTCAAAAGCGTTAAAAAACCTTACTGACCCTAAACCTTTGGATAGTAGTGCATTTGTTTAATGTTTTACAATGTTTTGATGGTTTGTCCACAGGAGAGCCTTTCAGTGGGAAGAACCTCCACCAGGCTGTGAACAGGGAGGATGAGGAGGAGCTGACCACAGTTCTGCAGTCAGGGTGAGTTAATTCAAGGAATATTTAACCCGAAAATGAAAATTTTGTCATTATTAATCACCCTCATGCCATTCTAAATCGGTTTGACTTACTTTCTTCTGTGGTGCAGGGTGATTAATAATGACAAAATTTTAATCTTTATGTGAAATATCCTCTTAAATGCCAGTTCACACATTATTCATAACCCCTCTCATGTAATTCCTCTCCTAGAATGGTCGACGTGGATGTTTATGACAAAATGGGGTTCACCCCTCTCATGGTGGCAGCACAGAAAGGTTTCACCAGGTAAACATGCTTCTGATGTTATACATTTAAACAGAAAGCTGGTGTACAAAGAGATGAATTCACAGCAAGCTACTGAATCTCCCATTAGTCTTTGTTCAGTTACTGCTATGTGGTAAAGAGTAAATTCGTTGAAATATAGTCATGTATTTCTAATCATGATCAGCATCTGTTTGTTTTCTAGCTTAGTGGACATTTTAGTGAAGCATGGAGCTGATATTAACAAGAGAGACAGCACTGGAAAAGACAGGTAAGCCTGCATATGCTTTTTCAATGCAGTTGAATTTTAGAATAATTCATGTTTTCTAATATATATTTTCATCTATGCATGTGTTTTATCAGTCTAATGCAGGCCTGTTTTGCTGGTCACCTTAACTCAGTGAAGTATCTGCGTAACTGCGGCTCCACATGGCAGTCCGGAGACACGGACGGCTGCACGCCGCTCCACTGGGCTGTGGATGGAGGACACCTGCCTGTCATTACATATATGATCCAGGATGGTTGTGAGGTCCGAGGTCAATTTTTCAACCATTTAATGTTTGCAAAAAAACAACATTCAAAGAATAGTTCACCCCAAAATGAATATTTGTTGAAAATGTACTCCCCCCACAGGCCATCCAAGGTGAGTTTGTTTCTACATCGGAACAGATTTGGAGAAATTTAGCATCACTTGCTCACCAATGGATCCTCTGCATTGAATTTGAATGGCTGCCGTCAGAATGAGAGTCCAAACAGCTGATAAAAACATCACAATAATCCACAAGTAACCTGCACGACTCCAGTCCATCAATTAACGTCTTGTGAAGCAAAAAGCTGCGTGTTTGTAAGAAACAAATCTGTCATTAAGGCATTTTAACTTTAAACTGACGAGTCCATAATAATGCTTCATCCAGTGAAAAATTCTTTACCCTGTTGTCCTTTTATATCAAAATCGACCAACATGTTTGTTTAGAACTGTTTTTGCTTGTTGATCCGTGCACATTTCTTTCCTGATTTAGATAAGACGACATTCTCCCTGGAGAAAACAATATTATGGATAAAGGACTCGTATTTCAGCTGGAAGCAATTTGAAGTTAAAAGTGTCTTAATGGACTTGTTTATTACAAAGACAAATTTTAAGCAATTTTTAATTTTTGGGTGAACTATTCCTTTAAAGGTATTTCATATGATCAGGTATCTGAAGTTACCGAACTTCAGTTTCACTA